TTGGGGGAAAGCCGACAGGAGATGAAAAGTCTCTGGTTCGGGTCGGCTCATCTCAGAGAGATGAGGGGGTACCTGTTGCTTTTCTACAGGGAGGTGGATTGAAATTGTCCACTGAGACCATGGCTAGTGACATGGACTGCCTGACAAGGTCTCGAGATAGCAAGAGGAAGGTGGCAGGCTTAACTAGTATGGGAAATTACAGCTGTTTCTATACAAATGCTCGAAGTGTCCGAGGTAAAATCGGGGAGTTGGAGTACTTGGTGTCGGAGGGAAAAATAGACATTGTGGGTATTTCAGAAACTTGGTGGGATGAGGAAAATCAGTGGGATACGGTGATTCCCGGTTATATATTATATCGGAAGGATAGGGGGGGAAGGGTTGGAGGTGGGGTGCCTCTGTATGTCAGAGAGGGTATAAAGTCCAGAAAGATTGAGAGGCTAAGAGAATTGGATTCGCTTCTGGAAGTTCTGTGGGTTGAAATAGGGGGGCCAAGAGGAAACTTAACACTGGGAGTTTGTTATCGCCCAACGGATCAAAAGATAGAGGAGGATTATAAAATGATGAATGAATTAAAGATAGCAGCTAGACAAAAACACTGTGTCGTAATAGGTGATTTTAACTACCCACACATTGATTGGGTCAATATGTGTTCTAGTCGAGAGAAAGAGATTGAGTTTCTAGACACTCTAAATGACTGTGCTATGGAGCAGATGGTCATGGAACCTACCAGGGGAGAGGCGATCCTTGATTTGGTCCTAAGTAACACTCAAGACCTGGTGAGAGATGTAAAAGTGATTGCACCGCTTGGGAACAGTGATCATAATGTTGTTGAGTTCAACATTTGTACAAATAGGGAATTGGCCAAAAAGACTCACACAACCACTTTTAACTTTAAAAGGGGTAATTTTTCTGATATGAGGGGACATGTGGGGAGGAAACTGAAGGGAAAAGTAGAAAGGGTCAAAACCATTGGGGAAGCTTGGAAACTGTTTAAAACTACAATTCTAGAAGCTCAAATAAAATATATTCCGCAGGTTAGGAAAGGCACAAACAGGTATAAGAAAAAGCCTACATGGTTAACAAACAAAGTAATGGAAGCTGTAAAAGGTAAAAAGGATTCCTTTAAGCGGTGGAAAGCTAGTCACAGTGAGGCTGATAAAACAGAACACAGGCTATGGCAAATAAAATGCAAGTCTGTGGTCAGGCATGCAAAAAGGGAATATGAGGAGCATATAGCAAAAAATGTAAAGACCAACAATAAAACTTTCTTCAAATACATTAGAAACAGGAAACCAGCCAGGGAGGCAGTGGGGCCCTTGGATGACCAAGGGGTAAAAGGAGTACTGAAGGATGATAGGGAAATGGCTGAGAAGCTAAATGCATTTTTTGCCTCCGTCTTCACTGTGGAAGATGAGAGGTGCTTGCCCACTCCAGAGCCGCTGAGTTCGGGAGGGGTGTTGAAAGACCTGAGTCAGATTGAGGTGACGAGAGAGGAGGTCCTAAAACTGATAAACAACTTAAAAACTGATAAATCACCAGGCCCAGATGGCATACATCCAAGAGTTCTGAAAGAACTCAATTGTGAACTTGTGGATCTCCTGACAAAAATATGTAATCTCTCCTTAAAATCAGCCTCCATTCCTGAGGACTGGAAGGTAGCTAATGTCACTCCCATCTTTAAAAAGGGTTCCAGAGGAGATCCGGGAAATTACAGGCCTGTCAGTCTGACGTCGATACCGGGTAAATTGGTGGAAACCATTATTAAGGAAAGAATTAGTAGGCACATAGATGAACAAAACCTATTGAGGCAGACTCAACATGGGTTCTGTAAGGGAAGATCTTGTCTCACTAACCTGTTAATGTTCTTTGAGGGGGTGAACAAACATGTGGACAAGGGGGATCCAATAGATATTGTTTACCTTGACTTCCAGAAAGCTTTTGATAAAGTTCCTCATCAAAGGCTCCTAAGCAAGCTCAAAAATCATGGGATAAAAGGACAAGTCCTTTTATGGATCAAAAACTGGCTAATTAATAGAAAACAGAGAGTGAGTATAAATGGGCAGTTCTCCCAGTGGAGGGGTGTAAGCAGTGGGGTACCACAGGGATCAGTACTTGGTCCACTGCTTTTTAACTTGTTCATTAATGATTTGGAGTTGGGAGTAAGCAGTGAAGTGGCTAAATTTGCGGATGATACGAAGTTGTTCAGGGTGGTGAAAACCAGTGAGGATTGTGAGGCACTCCAAAGGGATCTGTCAAAGTTGGGCGAGTGGGCGTCAACATGGCAAATGGGGTTCAATGTGGCCAAGTGCAAGGTGATGCACATTGGAGCCAAAAATCCTAACTATAAATACACGTTGATGGGGTCTGAACTGGCAGAGACAGATCAAGAGAGAGATCTTGGAGTTGTAGTAGATAACTCACTGAAAATGTCGAGACAGTGTGTGACTGCAATAAAGAAGGCCAATGCTATGCTGGGGATTATTAGGAAGGGTATTGTAAACAGATCAGCCAATATCATAATGCCGCTATATAAATCAATGGTGCGACCTCATCTGGAATACTGTGTGCAATTCTGGTCACCACACCTTAAAAAGGATATTATAGCTTTGGAAAAAGTGCAGAAAAGAGCAACTCGAATGATAAAAGGGTTGGAACACTTTCCCTATGAGGAACGGTTAAGGCGCTTAGGGCTCTTTAGCTTGGAGAAACGACGACTGAGGGGTGACATGATTGAGGTTTATAAGATTATGCATGGGAAAGAGCAGGTAGAGAAAGAGGTACTTTTCTCCCTTTCTCACAATACAAGAACCCGTGGGCACTCCATGAAATTGCTGAGCGGTCGTGTTAGAACGGATAAAAGGAAGTACTTCTTCACCCAAAGAGTGATTAACACTTGGAATTTACTGCCACAGGAAGTGGCGGTGGCTACAAGCATGGACGGCTTCAAAAGGGAATTAGATAAGCATATGGAGCAGAGGTCCATCAGTGGCTATTAGCCACAAGGTATAGATAGGGACTCTGGGGCAAGTGATGCTCTGTCATCTTGGTGCTTGGGGGGGTCAACAGTGGGATGGCTTCTAATGTCCTGGCCCCACTGGTGGACCTCCTGATGGCACTGGTATTTCTGGCCACTGTGTGATACAGAGTGTTGGACTGGATGGGCCTTTGGCCTGATCCAACATTGGCATCTCTTATGTTCTTATGTTCTTACCTCACTAGCTCTTCTTCAGTGCAGCTAGATCTGTCTTTCTGACTCCAGCTCAAGGAGGCAAAAAGAATACTATTCAATCAGCAACTATTGACTTGCACCCCAGTAGTCTACCTGCCACTTTACAATGCTACAGCACAGGGATCCTTGTTGCAGAGAGTGCTTCTTTGTGGGGTGAGCAAGAGAGAACCCTTTTTCTGCTCCTTGCTTTTCCAAAGTCTCAGAGGCTAAACCTCTATCATCTTGAGGTAAAAAATTCAGGACTCCTCTCTCCCTCTTTTTCTGGGTAGCACACTATGAAATAGTGAACTTGTAATATTAAAAACAGGAACATCCAAGTTGGACAAAAAGTAAAGTGCTGCCTAATTTTTCAAAATTACATTATTGCTGCATTTCTTTGTAGCGTCTTATTTTCAGGCATTCAAAATAATACATTCAAAAGATCAGTGTTATAGTTTAAACATACAAATTAATTAGACAGGAGTATGTGTTACAGATAATTAGGTATGTGATAATATAATGTTAATATGTCAAAAGGTTTAAATTAAAATTGCACAGCCAATTAAGTAGTACAGAAATAAAGGTGGTAACATAAGGTAAAGGCAGCTCCTAGGCAACTGAAGTGAGAAAGCCTTTTATGTATTTTTATCTGGGAGTGAAAACTGACATTGTAATGCTCATGGATGAAAGTGTCAGCTTTCCATATTCATAATGCCAACATTTCGCAACCTGCTTTTGCCAAACTGGAACTTTTTTTCCTACCTTATTGTCATGGTAAGTTTTTACTGGAATATATCTTCAGGCACTCCGATGTTAATCAAGTGTTTATATTTAACACCTAAGGCTTTAAACCTGCACCACTATGAAGTAGGATTTCCCCATTACCATTAACAAGCTCAGTAGGGACCTGAGGCTTCTTGCTCCATAGGGATAAATTATAACTTGTAAATTAGCAAAGAAAGTAATGATCAATTACCACATCAACAGTCAAGTATTATCACAATTCACCCATGCGTATGGATGCCAAATAAGTCAAGATGCCCAATATTTAAATGTTTTGTTATCTGCAAGCAAACGTTTGATATATTACATCATTATTAAGGACTGATTTCCAGCCTGGGAAAAAATGGTATAGTTAGCTGCAAGTCTTACTTTAAAATCCTTGGAACCGGACAATGCCTGTATGTACAAGACAATGAATCTATGCTATCAGATGCCTTTATCTGACAAATGGAAGCTTTTTTCATTATTTGGAGCAAGACCCATAATCTTGTTTCTGAAGTTGAAAAGAAGTGTTTATTGACTAACAATTCAAGAAAATTTTAAATGATACATGGTAAATATTGGCTTCTCTTTCATGGAGCTCTAGCTCTTTCTCCAGTTGATTGCATTTATTGTTGCTGTGTAGTGTAGATGTCATATTTCAGTTTTGTGCAACATGGTTCTTCAACAAAAGCTTCAATCGTATGCTTGTTTTTGTATTATGCTGCAGGCTGCTTTGTGTATTTTAATATCACAAACTCATATGCTGCAAATACTAGAAGCAATCTAGTTTCAAAAAGTCACTATGTATTGTATCAACTGTCTTGAATCTATTCATGCAAAGCAGAGTCTATGGGACTTACATTTGTAACTCTTGAGTATGCCTGAGTATGCCAGCATCTTTGGTGTGTACGCATTTAAAGTTATAACAACTGTGCTCACGAAAATACTGTTTTTTAAATATGAGTATATACTTTTTAAAAATATGAACATTTTCTTCATGTATTTTTTCCCCTTGCAGGTCACAGTAATGAAAGGCAGCAATAGGAATAAAGATCATTCAACAGACAGAGAAGGGACTGGAAAACGACCAAAGAGAAAGTGTCTTCAGTGGCATCCACTACTTGCAAAGAAAATCCTTGACTTTTCCGAAGAGGAGGAGGAAGAAGAGGACGAAGAAGATATTGATAAGGTAAATCTGTGCTATCAAAAGCAACATTTTTGTGATATCCTTTTGAAATTGTTGTCCAGTACAGAATGAATACCCACTTGGCTACCAGGTGCATAACCTATAAAAGAATTTTTTAAAATCGCTCAGTGGTGGTCTAATTTTTTAACATATGATGCAACTTAATTTGTCAGTGAAATCATTTAATGCAAGTTGCTTTTCTTTCTGGGTTAAATAGGTGCATCTTCTTGATGCTGATGGTCTAGAGCACGATGCTGATGAAACAGAAGACGAGGAATCTTCAGAGCAGCGAGCTCGCAGGCCAATGAATGCATTCCTTCTGTTCTGCAAGCGTCACCGTTCCCTTGTACGGCAAGAACACCCCCGTCTGGACAATCGTGGTGCTACCAAAATACTGGCAGATTGGTGGTCTGTTCTAGACCCTAAAGAAAAGCAAAAATACACCGATATGGCCAAGGAGGTATGCAGTGAAATTATAGACAAGATATTCCAATGTATTCTTTTTCTAGCACTACATATCTTTAAAATACCATAATGTTCCATTAATGTACCATTTAACAGGAAGTTCACCATGAGTTTTTCATGCTGAACATTTTAAAATAAGCATTATGTTTTTGGTACAAAAATGCCATGGTCAGAAGATGTCAATTCAATTCAAATACCTTTTATTGACATACAATATTAGAAGCATTTACCAATAATACAATCCAAAAGAAATTATAAAATAGATAGTCGTGGCTATGTCAGGCCTAACTCAAGTTGTCACAAGCTAGGTCAGAAGATGTCATGAAGCTATCCTTAAGTTTACAAATGGATAATGTCATTTATTTAACAGTAACTGCAACACAGTGCTCAGGAACCATGGCTGTGAGCCAGAAGCTCCTTGATTTTAAATCTCATTTTTCTATGTGGCCATAGACCAAAATTCCTATATTACAATAGATAACACTTCTTTAGCTGAAAAAGTTAAAGGGAAACTTAGTCGTCCCCCCCAATTTGTTACAAATTCAAAAATACTTTTCCGTTGATTGTACCCAGCGACCAATCTAATGCAGAGAGAATGGAGGTCTTGCAAGAGAAGCCTGCCATGACTTTTAACTTCATCATGAAAACTGATGGCAGGGATCAAAACAAAACTAAGGACCAACTAAAGCTTTAAAAGTTCTTCCTTTGAACAACCAGCTCACTGATACAAGAAGCATGCTCAAGTAGATCCCTCAAAATGGGTAGCTGTGTTAGTCTGTCTGTAGCAGTAGAAAAGAGTAAGAGTCCAGTAGTACCTTAAAGACTAACAAAATTTGTTGTAGGGTATGAGCATTCATGAGTCACTGCTCACTTCTTCTGATAGAACTGAAGGAAGAGTAGATCACTGCTACTGAAGAGTCAGAGATAGAACTCGTGCTAGCTTAGCAGGAGAAAATCTGCCAGTAGCAAAAATCTGAAAATTATGAAATTAAAAGTTTTCTATAAAACAGATTGCACTATAACAATTGATGTTTCTGAAAAGCTTACAGCATCTGAGCATGAAAATTTCCATGAACTTCAAGATATTGTTACACTAGTCGTGGAGCAAGCTTGTAGAGCAGGATTTCTTCTTCTTCTTTGCTCATTCCTGTTTCCAACTCTTCACTAGCTGAGAGCCCCAAGGTGCAGCAGTTCTCCATTGTTCCAGGGTGGGGCAGTCTCTAAGTCTGGGAGGAAGCTCCTCCCTTTTGACAGGCAGGGTCACCGATTTCACACGATTCCTAGGGGGAGGAGCTTTCCCCTCTGAACCCAGTTTTTGGCCCTGCCTCAAGGCAGATGGTGGTCATCAGCTGCACTCCATTTCTGAGTGCCACAATTCCTAATTTAGTTTGTTTATTTGTTTTTTCCTTACCTTCTCATTCTCTTTCATGCAGTGGAGAGACCCTTCAGGGAGTGGGAAGGACCTCATCCCCCCTCCCTCCTTTGGACTGAGGTTCTTGGCAGCAGAAGCCAGCGGGAGCACTTTTAAGAGGTGGAATCTCTCCACCCCAGCTTCCTGCTAGCTGCACCGCTCAGCTGCGAGCCCTCGAGGCCAGAAATGTCCCCTTCCACTTAGATAACTGGGGCGGCAGCTGCCCCAGAGCACCCAGGTCCTCTGCATGGCTCTCACTGGGTTGGCGGAAGGCAGCGAGACACAGTTTTTCTGCTTCTCCAGCCCCAGCAGAACTACTGAAGCCCAGTAAGGGGCCTTTTCAAAACCCCATTGGGCAGGTTCTAAGCAATTTCTAGGTAAATGAGGGATTCACATCGGAGGTTCCTGCGATTTTTATATGACGAGCTTCATTTTCAGTACAAGGCCCTCCCCTTTGGTCTAAAAACAGCACAAAGAATGTTCACCAAAGTCTTGGTCTCACTGATAGCACACCTGAGAACCATGGAAGTGTCCATATTTCCATTTTTGGATGACATATTAATCAGGTCCCCATCTCACCTGCAAGGGATGGGAGACATGCGTCAGACAGTGACATGTCTCCAGAACCACAGGTTGATAATTAACTGGGAGAAAAGGGTCTTTCATTTAGGAGTAGTTATAGACACAGTTTTCCTATCAAAGGAGAGACAGGAGAAAATAACTTCTGCAATATAGCTGCTCATGAATCAATCCCATATAGAGGTGATTTTCCTGACAGAACTGCTGGGGATGTTGGTATCCTGTCAGGATGTTATCCCATGGTCCAGATTTCATGCTTGCCCACTGCAGAGGTTTCTCCTACCTTTCCAGAGCCTTGTACACAGCAAGAGTTTCCAGTTGGTTGGTTCAGTTAGATCGCTCCTTGATTCAAGAACTACAGTGGTGGGTAAATCCTTCCAAATTCCAGGAGGGGAATACAATTCAGGAACCACAGAGGACAAAATTGACCTCAGATGTCAGCCTCTCCAGCTGGGGGGCTCATGCACAGGGAAAAATGGCCCAGGGCCTCTGGACTCAGGAAGAGTCATCACTGACCATCAATTTTCTGGTGCTCAGGGCAATAAAGTTAGGACTGATGCCATTCCAAGTTCTTCTGGTGGGACAATATGTCATTGTTCGTATGGACAATATGACAGCCAAATCCTATGTCAACCATCAGTTGCTGCATGCGGAGGCGAAGACGTTGATGCAGCAGGCAGAGATGGTGTTCCAGTAAGGGGACAGAACACTTTCAGCCAAGGTGGGAGATGTCCTTTCTTTCCTTTAGGAAGGTTTAGACAAGGGACTTAGTACCAGCACACTAAAGAGGCAGGTGGTAGCTATTTCAGCCATTAGGGGAGCCAAAAAATGGAGGTTATTGTCACAGCATCCCCACGTTAGGGGGTTTCTAAGGGGTACTGCCTTGACTAACCCTTTTGCGGACACATCGCTTCCCAACTTGGAGCTTAAATACAGTATTCAAGGCTCTCTCCAAGCATCCCTTTGAGCCCATGGCCACTTGTCCTCTGAAGGAACTCACTTTCAAAACCATCTTCCTGGTTGGCATTATGTCGGCCAGGAGGGTGTCAGAGGTCAAAGCCCTCGGTAGACAAGGAACTTTATGTCTTCCATAATGATAGGGTAATGCTCCACTCAGACATGGTCTTCATTCCAAAGGTAAATTTGGCTTTTCACAGGTTGGAGGAATTGGTCCGTCCCATGTTCTGCACTAATCCCAGACACCCCCAGGAGAAGGAACAGCACTGTTTGGATGTTAAGAGGGCACTGAGTTTCTACCTGGATAGGACTAGATCCTTTCGGAAGACTGACACTATTTTTGTATCTTTCAGAAAGGCTTCCTTGGGTTGCAACATATCTACGTCTACTATCAGTAGATGAGTTAGGGGCTGTATACGCCTCACATACAAGTCCACAGGTCTGAAACCCCCTCTGGGAGTTACAGCACATTCCCTCAGGGGTGGCAACATCCACAGGCTATATATCATTCCCTTCCATAGATGTCATATGTAAGGCTGCAACTTGGAGGTTGGTTCATTCCTTCACCCCAGGCACTATAGGATTGATAGGTTAGCCAAGGCTGAGGCTGCCTTTGGTAGAAGGGTCCTGCAGCCTTTGGTAGAAGGGTCCTGTTGGTGTAAGGGGCGAGTTTTCCCTCTCTGGGTGCACTGTTTTTCTGTGTCCCAGATGTAGAGACTGCTGCACCCTGGACCACTGGAGAATGGAAGATTTTTGTCACTTACCATGAATCTTTCTCGGTGGTCCAGGGGTAGGGCAGTCTCTCCCCATCTGAGGGTAGAACTAGTGACTTGGCTTCTGAAGCGGGAAGGGCATGCTGTATGTGATTTGGGTATCCTTCCACTCCCTGAGGGCACTCCTGAGTGTCCTCCTTGGAGAATGGCACAGTTAGCATGGTTGTCTGGTTAGTTTTTCCTCCTAATTGTTAGTTGGAGGTTGTTTCCTGTTTTCTTCTGTTTTTATGAAATTTGTTAAGAGGAGCTGTACTGCTTCTGGACCAGTCTGGGTTCAGAGGGGGAAGCCCCCTCCCCCTAAGAATCGTGCAAGATCGGTGACACTTCCTGTGAGGAGGGAGGAGCTTCCTCCCAGACATAGAGACTGCCAACTCCTGAACCATCAAGAAGGAAGATTCACAGTAAGTGACACAAATCTTCCTTTCTTTCGAACATAGGAAGCTGCCTTATACTGAGCCATATCCTTGGCTCATCAAGGTCAGAATTGTCTAAGGGTGGCAGCAGCTCTCCAGGGTCTCAAGTAGAGGTCTTTCACATCACTTACTGCCTGATCCTTTTAACAGGAGATGCTGGGGATTGAACCTGGGAATTTCTGGATGCAAAGCAGATGCTGAACCCCAGAGCCACAGCCCCTCTGGGTTTAAAGACAGTAGCTAAATTTGATTACAGAAATGTTAATAGTAGCAAGGACTTGATTCTTAGAAAACTTGATTCTTAGAAAACTTTCCTGGGAGTAAGTTCCACTGACGTTCCACAGATACTTGCTTCTGAGTTGACCTGTTTAGGCTCTCCCCACTCCATGTTACATAGAGAATTTTCAAAAGTTACTATTTCTTGTCTGTTTTTAAAGTTCTATACATTCTTCATGTTGTGCATTTCAAGAGAAATATGGTGAAGTGGGAAAAGGGACATTAAAATGGACTGTTCAGCCCGACTTGATGTCATAGGAATAATGAGGTAACTGTGCCCAGAGCATGTCCCTCCAGGAAAGGCTGGAATTGTCACACCAATCAAAATTGTTTAAATCTGCTATAAATGAGACCTGGGCCTCCATATGCAGGCACATCTTTAGCTGCATATCTTCCCCTTTCAGAGGACTGCAGACTTGTAGTTCCACATAGGAGTTTCTGGATAGATTCACTTGGGAATGAATAAACTGACTAATTAGGACAGCAATAATAATTATCATATAGCATTGTGTGTAGAATAGCCAGGAGATCCTAAGATTGTCTGGTAGCCACAAATTTTAGCTCTTAGCATTATGCTAGTAGGAAG